ATTTATTATCACTAAGTATTGTTTACCCCCCCCCCCGTCGGCTCGAGATACGTCTGAGAGGTAATAACACTAAAATTTGTGTTTTAATACCTACGGTGGGCAGAGCACTGGCAGCCCCTTGTGTAACTTTGTGTTTAACAACAAAACAAATAAGTAATCGTTGTAGAAAATTTGTTAATATATATATATATATATATTACTATTATATATTTTAAACATTAGGCACCTAATGTAATTAAGATTATTTTGATACTATTACTTCTACTACTACTACCATAAGCTTGAGGATTTTGGCACTGGCCTTGGCACAGACTTTGCTCTCTTCAATAACTTCCTTAAGATCATTGTAGTAATGATGGTAATTTCTAGTTGATTTTAGTAGATTCTTTCCTTTCCAAATACTTTCACACTTTCAAGTTCATATTTCCACCAGTTAATAAATGTGATTTCTGAATAGTGCTTGACTGGCTAGTATTTTTTGATTTATAATAATACTGTTCAAATTATGCCAAAAACACAGAGATTTAGTTTGTTTGCTTCTTTATTATTATCATGGACGCATTCTGCTCCCTCTGTAATTTGGCCATTGCTGACTTTGTTGCTGAAGCAGATACGTTGATTCCATACAGTATGCTTATCAAGTCTGTTGCTCTCATCTGGTTGGTGAGGCTCTTTTGTTCCACTTTCTGGGTGGAATCATATTTAATAAGGGTAAGACTCCTCATTAGCTTCTATTTCAGATTATCAATATGTGTAAATATTGTCATTCTGTGGTCTATCACAACAACAAATATCTTCAAAATCAAACAGCCTACAGCCCAGAGCTGTGATGTCAGCATAAACTTCTGGATGATGTGTGTGATTGCCTCGATACTTGAAGTTGTGGATCTCTATGGTCTTACCCTTCCTCTTTGGTAGGAAGATAATCTCTCTCCCTCGTGTCTTGAATGAGTTTCTGCTACCTTTTGCATGAGATTTATCCATACTTTGACATTGCTATTAATATATATATATATATCCATGTGTGATAGTCTTGTAAAGGTTTGGGCATCACTACCATTGAGTGGTTTCCGAGGTACTTCTCTGTTTTTCCCGTCATCATTGACAAGCTGATTAATTCGACTAGCTCTGATTTCTCTTCCATGGCGAGAAAATTGTGATTTTGGAGTATCTAACATCATCTGGTCCTGTTGCAAGATCCTTCTGTGTTACTTAAAGAATTTTAGCTAATCCATCCAGTGACCCTAGCATTTCTGACTGTGGGTAGGTTCTCTGTTGAATTCTGTTATCTACTTCCTGCCATGCCCATATCACAAAGGCTTGCCACTTTCTTGTAGCTGGTTTGTGTACCTCTGCAAGAAGTCGTTATTTTTTTTGTTATCAGTTCTACGACATTCACCATTTAGTCCTTTGATTTCCTGTGGCCCTACCATACATTCACTTACTATTTCCTTGATTGTTGCCATTTTTAAAATTAGTTTGTTATACTGGGACTTACTGAACTTCATTTCTAACAGAAATTATCTCATACTGCTTGCCTGCTTCTTTCTATTTTTTGCTGTATTTCCGACGAAGCTTTATTTAATCCTGCTCACTTCTACTTGATTTCATTTTCTTTCTTATTATACAACTTTTGTTTTCAGTGTATGTTTTACTAGGCTCAATCTTCTATTTCCAGGCTTGCTCCACTTCTGCTGTCTTCCAAGTGGGTTTATTGTGACCACTACATTTACTTTTCTGACACACTCCTTCTTTTCCATTCCATTCTCCTGTATTTACTCACGATGGTTTAAGATCCTGTTCTACATTGGAAACCTATAGCCCGATGGGTTTTTGAAATGTCTCTTTCTTGGCTATATGCATGATTAGAGCTTGTGTTCACTGCCCATTAAAAGTAACAGCTTCCATTTCAACCCAAAGAAAGCAGTAAGGTCTATGGCTGAGTTAGAACCTACCTCTGTTATTTCTGAGAGGACATTATTACTGGCTGAAATACAGTTGATATTTTGTATTGCCTCCTCCAACGATCCTCCATTCACATTTTGGTCATTATCTAATCAGATAGGGCTCTGGGTGCTAAAGTCGCCTTTAAGGATAGTCCTTGTAGTCATGTTCACGAAAGGATTCAGTAAACTAGTCCGAATCCTTTCCTTTATTGTATTGTTAATAGAAATATACAAGTTGGGCAGAATGTATTCCTTACTAGAGTCTCTGGTACTGTGTTTCTCTCCTAATGTGTTTCTAGAAACACGTACTTTGCACCGTTCAGTGTTGGCATCAACAAGGATGAAAGGTTCTCTCTTCACGTTTCCCTCTGTTATAGATGTTTTGAAAAAAAAACACTTTGATTTCTCTAACATATGATGGTTTCTTTCACCATTTCGACATTCATCTCATCCAATAGCTTTCAAATTGTCTATTCACTTTTTTGTGGTTACGGGCGTTTGAAGACATTATCTACACAAATTTCCTATCCACCCTCTCTCTCCCTTTGACTTCCCTTCCTGTTTTTAACTCCTTCCTCTTGTACCTCGAAATATGTTTATCATTGCACAGTCCAAGTTGTGTGAGTTCATAGTTCAATGTCCAGATTGCTGCTGGTGGCTCTGTGAACAACTAAAAAAAAAACCGGGAAGGAACCTTATTGCCCTGGGCTGCCAGGGATGGAGCGGGCCGTACCTCCAATTTGGGTCAATATCCCTCCCACTGTCACCACGTGCGCCTAGCCTCCACTGTGACAGCCTTTGTTAGAGTTATAACTGGATTGAAAGCAGCCGCTGTTTCTCTCTGCTTCTGTTTGGCGGATAACTCTCCTGTTAGTTCCTCCCTTAGATGTAAATTAACAACAACATGTTGCTATTATATATATATATATATATATGTGTGTGTGTGTGTGTGTGTGTGTTATTTACTTACTTATTATTTACTTTATCAATTAAGTATTTAAGATTGTATTTTCCTTTTTTTCTTACCCAAAGTAAATAAAACTGGATGCGCCTTTGATATAAAAGAGAAAAAAAGAAAAAATGGAGAAATATTGCTAATCGCTGTTCATCACTAAAACAATAGGTCAAACAAAGGAAATCCTAGTTTAGTATTAGAAAGTTAATATATAGTTTCACAAACTGAGTAAATTAGTACTATCATTTAAATAATTTAATGTAGCTGAGTAGTATAATTTGAGTTGCTTTTATTTAGGGGACGCTGAAAATAAATATTTGTTTCACAAAAATCGGGCCTTGCACTGATGTAATACTGAGTAATAGTAATACAATTATTCCATTTTATCATCTTTGTACTCAGACATTCAGGGGGCCTACTAATTCACTATTTGATGTATACGTAACAGTCAATCCCTTCTCGTGGATGGCGCGTGGAAGAGAGCAGCTGACTGGCTACTTTACCTGTGGTCTGTAGTTTAGAATTAAAAACGACATTATATAGCTTTAGCAGCGTTGCCATAAATATAATATTATGTATCAAATCGCCCCCCAGTGGCACAGTGGTATGTCTGCGGACTTACAACGCTAGAAACCGGGTTTTGATACCCGTGGTGGGCAGAGCACAGATAGCCCATTGTGTAGCTTTGTGATTAATTACAAACAAACAGTGTATCAAATCGACACTATTGCAACAGGGAAAATAAACGTAAACCTAGTGTAGCGTTAATAATTATTTAATATAAAGTTGAACATAGAAAATAAACGTAAACCTAGTGTAGCGTTAATAATTATTTAATATAAAGTTGAAAATAGAAAATAAACGTAAACCTAGTGAAGCGTTAATAATTATTTAATATAAAGT